AAGCATATATACAAATCATTTAGTAAGCAGAAATCCGAAATTTACGTTAAAGGGGTCATAAGATGCGATTTCAAGTTCTCCTTTCTCTTTGGAGTGTTACAAGCTGTGAATAGATAAGATTCCTGAAGTTGCAAAGACTAAAGTCTCAAAACCAAAGAGATATTCTTTATCAAAGTTAAGACTCTGCTACGCCCCCCTAAAACGGCTCGTTCTAACACGCCCCCACATATCTACCTCACTATGTGGGAATATTAGCATAATGCCCCCCAAATGTGCACGCAGAGAAAGAAGGCGTGGTTTCAGTAACCGCAGTTAGTGTTGAAGCAGCATGTCAGGGAGACGCTGTGTGTTTCTAGACGAAAGCTAAAGCACTTTATTTGGCCTTCCGGAAGTAGATGCATTTAGGAATCTTTAAGATGACTTTCAACAGAACAGCAATGTCAGCTGTCTGAACCGCGGCTTGTGTACTGCATCATTACTGTGTCTGTTCCCCTTTCAGGCTTGAACTGAAGGTAAAACTAATGACATTATTTACTGTCTTTACATTTATTTTGAAAGATGAAGCTGTGATTATGGTAAGGGGCGTTACATTTCCGACGAGTGCTTGCGGTGTTCGGCCAATCACAATGCACTGGGTCAGCTGGCCAATCAGAGCAGACTGCGCTTGTCGGAAGGAGGGGCTTTGTAGAAAACGAAGTGTTTGAGAGAGGCGGGGCATAGAGGACCTACAATAATGTACAGTATTTAAAAAATAATGTGTTTTTTGAACATTAAAGCATGTCAACATATTCTGTTACACCAAATACACCAAATAATGATCTTTAAAAAAGCATCATATGACCCTTTTAAGCCAGGTTTCGGTAAGGAATAAGAAGTATTTCACTCCACAGCCACATCTGTCTGTGTTTCGTCAGTACTGCAGGCTGACTTCATAGTGAATGAAACTAAAACTCCTAGTTAAGAATATGTTTTCTATTTATATATTAGTCCTACTGCATATTATATAAAGGAGCGTGAGGCTTGCAATCAACCAGTTCCAAAAAGAAACACAAAACTAGAAAATAAACAAGCTGACAAAAAAGATTGAAATCACACTTTGGTGATTATATATAGCATAACGAGAGATTTATAAGCAATTATTTGGAGGCCAGTTATTTTTGAGTGTAACAAGGTGAGAAAAAAACCCAAAAGAGTACAAAACTAATAATTTTTTTAAATTAATACATTTGTAACAGAAAAGAAAGCACCGCAGAAATACATGATTATATATTTTATTTCAGTGTATTTACAGTGAATTCTTCATGTGTTCCTGTACATTTGTAGCATACTGAACACCCTCTTACTGTAAATATATTTCACAACTTTGAGAAAAATACCCTAAGAAGCCTGCGGTGAATCTATAATTCTAATCAGATGAAACACAAACACGTCACGAACTGCACACATCGGATTGTCGACATCATCATCATAATCATATTTACAGTCAAAACAACCTATATACTGTATGTACAACATGTCCTGTTATGATGTGTGTGAATGTGAGGGTGCGAATCATATTCTGCTTCCAATCAATCCATTTTGCATTCATATAAAATATAGTTTTTGAACACTGATCTCAAAGGTTTTAACGTGTGCAGATCTTTCATCTTATGCTGCACGAGTGCTTTCATTTAGAGGATTCATTTTCATATGCAACAATTTAATATTTCCTAAACGAAACGATAATATTCCTGATGATGTGTTTTATTTGATAGATATTGTCCTAAAGCAGCATATCTTGCAGAATCGTAAAGCATGGGTCTTGAGTTTGTAGTCGAGCTGTGATAAATGAAAGCGCTATTATTATATCACGATATCACTGTTTAATACTGGATTCTGATTGGCTGACAGATGTTTTTAGGTGTTATTAATGTTTGATACCGTGTTTCTGAACTAATGAGGGCATCTTACAGCAGATACTTCAGCAGTAGAATGTAATTCTATACATTTTATGGGCCAAAATCTGAAAAATATATATATAATAAAAAAAATGAAAACAGAAAATATAGAAATAAAAAGTGATTCAAAATATTATTAAAACTTATAATAGCATGTCAATGATACTGAAATAATGCTGTTTTTGAGTATTTTAAATGTTCATTTTACATACAGTTCCTCAAAAAGTGTAAATGCTTGAAAAAAAAAAAGCTTATTTTTGTGATTCTGAAAGAAAACTCCATTTATAACTGTACTGACTGTATATACTCATCAGTATTTGTGTGAAACACTAAACCGCTGCTGTTCACATGCGGACTGATCCACAGAGGATTCTGGTCAGAACTCGTCTTCTGAACTGTCTGCCAGCAGCATGGCGTTGTCTGGTCCGCTGCGCACTTCTCTGGGAGGCTGGAAATCAGCAACATTGCACAGCAATCACAAGATTAAAAGATGAATCTACTGAAGCTTTCAGGAGCTGGTATGATGGAAAACATCCAGAACTTGTGATTCTGAGGTTATGCTGGACTCTGAGCGCCGTACCTTCCTCCTCTGGTGCTTGAAGCTGTTCCTCCTCTTGCGATGGATCATCCTGATGCTGTACAGAGCGCCGACCAGCAGAAGAGCTCCGGCTATTCCAATCCCGACCGGAGCCAACATCCCCGACACATAACCAGCCTACGAGAGACCAGCGGAGAGCTTTAATGCTTCTTCTGCTCACCAGGGCTGCATTTATTTGATCAAAAACACAGTAAAAATTGTGTTCCTCGAGCAGCAGATCAGCATATTATACTGATTTCTGAAGATCATGTGACACTGAAGACTAGAGGAATGATGCTGAAAATACAGCTGCGCATCACAGAAATACATTACAGTTTAACACATATTTACACAGAAAACAGCTGTTTTACATTATAATAATATTTCAGAATTTTTACTGTGTTTTTGATCAAATAAATGCAGCCCTGGTGAGCAGAAGAGACTTCTTTCTGAAGCATTAAATAATCTGGTAGTGCATTTCTGCAGCACTAGCATTTTTCCAGTGTTGCATCAATATGAAAACAAACGAGTCGTACCTTCTCTCTGATAAGTTCAACCCAGCTCCGCACTGCAAACAACAAACAGAGAACGAAGTGTGTTTATTAATGCTGACGTACAGATGAGATTAACGTGAGCCCGGCACGTGACTCTCACCCAGGCCCTGGTTCCGCTGCACCCAGACGGGAGGAGGAGGGATCAGGCTGTACGGCAGACGGGTGTGAGGGGCCACGGTGCTCTCTGTCAGGTCCTCTTCGCTCTCCTCCTCATCAGAGTCCATCTCCTCTTCCTCCTCATCTTCATCTGGGTCCTCTGTAAGACAGAGACGTTCAGCTCTCACGCGTCAGACACCAGCGTCAATGCTTTAAACACACATACAAACCTTTCGATTCGGGGTCTTCCGTGTCCGTCTTTGATGGTTTTGGCTCTGGTAAGTGAACGAGCTCAGAGACCGTCAGAGCCTGATGGGTAGCGGAGCTCTGTGTTACATCATCACCTGCTGGACCAATCAGAACACTGTATATGAGCTTTTGTAACTTAACAGCATTTTCAGAATATCAACAATCTATATCAGAAGTTAAAGTTTATGTTTCTAAACAGCACATATTGTGTGTATAGAGGGATGAAACAAGCATCTTAGCACTTTCAGTTCCGTCGTCCCGAAGTCAGTGGAATTTGGGTTTTTGGTTAATTTTTATTTAAGTTTTGGTTATTTTAGTGCATCAAGTTAAACTAAATTAAAATGAGAAATGCTGTTTCTGAATAAACTGTAACTGAAATAAAATACATTTTTAAAATATTTTATTTTATTTTATTCCCATTAACAGGTAAGGTTTTAGTAATATTTTTGTGTGTTTTTCTCATTTTTATTAGTTTTTTTTAATATGTCTATATAGTTTTTATTCATTTTATTTCAGTTATTTTAGCATAACTTTTTTTGGCAACTACCTGAAATAAACTAATATATATATATTTTTTTATAAATATTTGATTTGATTTGATTTCAGTTAAAGTTTATTTTATTCCTCTGTTTGTTTGTTTTTAAACTTTTAAATGTGTCTATATTAAGTTTATTAAGTTTTAGTTTTTATTTGACAACTAGCTGTTATAGAAGGAAGGAAAATGAAGTGCATCAGGAAAAGGAACCGATATACAAGAACTATAATATACAGTTCAGTCAAAAATGGTTGCTGCTCATTTTGTGAAGTGAAATAAACGATCTAGTTAAGCTTCATTTGATGCATCATTGCATTCCCACTTTAAGAAGTCGTCTGCATTTTCTGTAATTTCCATGACGCATTATTGATGCATTAATGTTTTATAAATGCTGCATCGGTTTCAACAGCAGCCTGAAACAATGACTGAACTGATATTTGACACATACTGGATTTCATGTTGATTTAATGTCAGACATCGTGAACCAAGAACATCAAAGCCGTCAGGAGTGTTAGCATGAATAATGTGTGTCGCCTCTTTTAGCAGTCAGTTCCACTTTCTTCCAGCAGCTCTCAAAATAGAAAGTAATTAGGCTGCCGGCGGCGTCCGCTGAGGGTTCAAAGTGGAGCAGGACGCTCTCAGACATCATTCAGTGTGATTCAGAAACTTTACAACACGGACACAGTTATTGAACTGAACTGATCTGAATAGTGACTCTATTGTTTTCTGCAGAGCTGCTTTACAGCTGCATTTTGGAACATTAACACTGTTATTTTCCTGTTTATTACTGTGAAGCTGTGAAGCTGCTTCTGTGGTAATTTAGCATGATTCATACTCTCATAATTTGTGTTAATATTTTGAACCATGCAGGTTATCATAGTTAACTAAAACTAAAACCGTAAAAGAACGTTTTTGTTAAAAACAATTAAAAATGATTTTATTTCAGCTAGTTGCCAAAGAAACATTTCTCATTTTCATTTAGTTTAACGATGTACTAATTTAAAACTCAAACTAAAATTCATAAAAAACTGTATAGACAAATGATAAAATCTAAATGACTGAATATAAACTAAAATTAAAATGAAAATAGAAAATGCAAAAATATAAACTAGCCTAATTCAAAATTAAAACTAATATTATCTCCATACTAAAATAACAGTTTTGCATTAGATTTTATTTGTACATTCTTCTGTATTAATTTTAAAAGTTTTAGTAATTTTGTTGTGCATTTTTGTCAGTTTTCTAAAATATGTCTAATTTCAGTTTTTAGTTATTAACTAGATGAAAATGAGAAATGTTGCCATTAAATAACTTAAAAAAATGTTATATATATATATTTTTTTTATTTCAGTAATTGTTTATTTTATATCAAGTAGCAAAAATACATTTGTATGCTTTTTATTGTAAAATAAAAACATCAAATGTCAGAGATCTCAATAT